CACAGCTAGGATGAGCCTCCTTCCTGATGCTCTTTCCGGTTTTCCTCAGACCAGGCCAGCATGGTCCAGGATGAACCAATGGAATGAGCTACCACAGTTGTCCCAGTGGGTCCACCACCACTTCACAGAACAGTGATGGACAAGCAGGAAGGACTCCTCAGTCAGCAGCAGAGTCTGAAGTGATGAACACCACAGTCCAAATTCAGGTACCTTTCCTCCTCAGGCCTGAGTACTTTAACAGGGCAATATACTTCCTAAATCTCACCCACCTCCTTGGTGAGCTCTAGTTATTAAGAGCAAAAATCCAAGGATATGGAAGTTCTGATTGGGAGGATTTTCATGTTGTCCTATGTATGGTCAGCTGGCCAGATTCACTGAATGAGGGAGAAGGGTGGGGAAATTCCAGATAAGGAATATTATAAATAGAGACCAAGACACTGCCATTAAAAATACATGCACCCTTAGTTAAAGGCAAAGCATTTAGGAGCAAAGCTCGTAATAAAACCCCTAGAGTGGATTTCCTGGGACATCACTGGCTATCCTGGAGAAACATGGACACTCTGTTGAGATGCCACGTATGGAAGTTATGGAGTTCCATTGCTGGGGGGGGCACTTCAAGAGGTTAATGAGATCGTACCCAGGCATGGTGGGGCATGCCTATAATCCCAGTGGCTCAGGAGGCTGAGGCAGGAGACTTGCAAGTTCAAGGTCAGCCTCAGCAATTTAGCAAGGTCCTAAGCAACCTAGAGAGACCCTTTCTAAAAATAAAAATTCAAAAGATCTGGGGATGTAGCTCCTGGATTTAATCCTTAGTACAGAGGTGGGGTGGGAGAGAAGAGATCAGTGATCTCCAGGGTTCATAGTTATTCCCTCTTCCTGGCGTGTTCTCCTTCCAAATTTCTTAAATTATTATTCAAATTTCTGCTAATATGTCTGTAGCCTGGAGGTACTTTCCTGCCAATCTCCCTACAGCAGCCACTCTCAAGCATTTCTGCACTCAATTGCCCACTTTCTTTAGCCTAATGCAATCACACCTAGCCTGAAAGTTGTCATGTAAAGCTCTATACAAGCATTTTTTGTCTTTCTTCTGGAAGGCAATGACCCTGCCTGCTCCTGTATTCCTGCTGCCTGGGAAAGAGCCCAGAACACTTAGAAGGTGCCTCTGGGTCCTTGGTTGAAGGTTACACTTGAGGGCTGGAGCCCAGAAATGTTAATTATCTCAACCTGGCCACAGAGACAGCTGGGGGCAGACCTAGGAGGCAAACATGTGACACTTGATGGTTTGGGTTCTGGCTGCTTGGTAATCACTTGAATGTCAATGATGTAAAGATAGAGAGAAATACCAAAAAATGCAAACACTTGTCCCTATGCTGCATCTTGCCACCCAGGAAGAAATGAACATGGAATGTTTTCTGAAGCACACGCATTTTACCTCCACAGAGAGTGTGTGGGAACTTTCCTCTCCCACAAATGACATTAGCAATTTAGAAGATGATTTAAAAGAAGAGAGAATTTCACAATATTGCCAATAACAGTTAGCAAATCTCATTAATGAGATACTCTGATGTGGAAATCACTGCAATCCTATTTCGTAGCAAAACACTGTAATTAAGCCATTGTGTGTCTGTGTTATTTAGCAAATGAATAATTACACTATGCACTTGAGAGTTAGTGCTACTTTGGAGCATTGGGGCTAATCTCTTTGGCATCTTGTCTGGAACTCGCTTTAATGAGCAATATATTCTGAGTCATGTTCAAAGCCAATCGACTACTTTATACAAAGAGATATTACAGCAACAGAAAAAAGATGGAGTGTGTCGCAAGCCATAAAACACTGAAACACACTCAAACTACACTTAACTCTGAAAAACAGCTTTTAATTCAGCAGTGGCTGATGAACATCTTGTACATGTCAGGTTTTGTACTGAACACCAGGAAGAGAAGGATGATAGGGTTCCTAGTCCTGATGGGTCTTTTTGTTTGTTTGTTTCTGGGTAAAAGCAATTACAGAGAAGTCACAAAATCAA